AGAAAACATAGGGAAAGAAGTCCTTGATATTGATTTGGCCATCATTGGCATGTTTTTTTTTTTTTTTTAATGTCAAAGACAGACACCAAAAACATGGGGTCAAACACTACAAGCGAAAATAAACAAGTGAGACTACGGAATAAATGTATCTTGACTTTTTCAAGGCTCTTGTAAGATATTAGGTGTTTGTGAGAGATTGGGGCCCACTGAGAATGCACTTTACCCCCAAGGGAGTTATTAAAATAACACAGCCAGTTGGTTTCTGCCCAGCTAATCAAAGACTTCATTTATCTCCCAGCACTTAGGATTTCAGGCAAATGCCAGATGGCCTCGCGTTCTTGACAGGCTGTGCTATCAAATCTTGTTGTAGTGACCAGTTATAGAATTTAACTAAAAGGACTTTCTTCTAGAAGGGTAAATTTAACATTTAAAATGTCAGAGATGGACTGGAGTGATAGCACAGCAGGCAGGGCGTTTGCCTTGCACGTGGCCGACCCAGGTTCAATTCCCAGCATCCCATATGGTCCCCCGAGCACCGCCAGGAGTCATTCCTGAGTGCAGAGCCAGGAGGAACCCGCGAGCATCGCCAGGGGTGACCCAAAAAAGCAAATAAATAAATAAATAAAACATCAGAGAGATGCCAGAGACAGTACCTTGCACATGGCTGACCAAAGCTGGATGCCAGACACCACACGTGGTCTCCTGAGCACCACTGGGAGCAAGCCCTAAGCACAGAGCTGAAGTGTAGCCCAATCTCACCAAAAAAAGTGTTTTTTTTTTTTGTTGGTTTGTTTTTGTGTCTCACCCAGTGATGCCCAGGACTGACTCCTGGCGCTGCACTCAGGAATTACTCCTGGCGGTGCTGGGGGATATGGGATGCTGGGGGTGGAACCCGGCTCAGTTGCATGCAAGGCAAGCGCCCTACACACTATACTATCTCTCCAGCACCCTCCAGAAGATTAAAATAGAATACTTTACAGTATTTACAGTAGTCAACACGATCACGATCACGATCACAACCACCCTGTTGTTCGTCGATTGCCTCGAGCAGGTGCCAGTAACGTCTTCTTCGTCCTAGCCCTGAGATTTTTTTTTTTAAAGTGCCATATTCAAGGCTTTTTCAGGGTTAGGAGAATGAGACCCATCATTGTTACTGGTATTTGGCATATTGGGTATACCACGGGGAGTTTGCCAGACTCTGCCATGTGGGCATGTTACATTTGGTAGCCTGCCAGTTTGACCAAATTAGGAATGAGATGATAAGATGTCGCGCGGCCGCAAATGTGGCCGCGCGCTTCCGGGAGCTGAGTGTGATAATCTCTGGATCCTGGCCGTTGTTGGAGTTACACGGCAGTTGGTGGGTGTAACTGTCTAGTTACTGGCAGGTCCAGTCCCAAACTGTGCAGGCTTGGAGATCTCAGCCCCGGGTCCCACACACCTGGGTTCCTCTGTCAGTTCTTTTATGCGTGAGGCTCATCCAAGTGTGTGGAGAGTGGTCTCAGCATGGCCTTGGCTGGGCCTCGGTGGTCTTCAGCTGTTGGGCCCTGGTGGAGACAGTCAGGCATAGGGTAGGAGACTCTGCCTTGTTCTCTCCCAGGAGCTGAGTGTGATGATCTCTGGATCCTGGCCGTTGTTGGAGTTACACGGCAGTTGGTGGGTGTAACTGTCTAGTTACTGGCAGGTCCAGTCCCAAACTGTGCAGGCTTGGAGATCTCAGCCCCGGGTCCCACACACCTGGGTTCCTCTGTCAGTTCTTTTATGCGTGAGGCTCATCCAAGTGTGTGGAGAGTGGTCTCAGCATGGCCTTGGCTGGGCCTCGGTGGTCTTCAGCTGTTGGGCCCTGGTGGAGACAGTCAGGCATAGGGTAGGAGACTCTGCCTTGTTCTCTCCCAGGAGCTGAGTGTGATGATCTCAGTAGTCAACACACAGAAACAAATACACAGCGATAACCAGATGGTTGAATAAACCTGTCCTATTTATTCTCAATGGAGTATTACATGGCTATTTAAAAAGATAAAATCTTGCCTTGTGTGACTGAGTGAAATAAGTCAGAGAGTAAAAAAAGAAATTCCCAGATGATTTGACCTGTGGACTATAAATAATCAAGGGGCAGGGGGCCCAGTAAAGCACAGTGAAAGCAACGGACTGGAAACTATGGTGGTTACAAGGGGAAGAGAAAGAGGCTGGCAGGAATGAGTCAGGGTGATGGTGTGGAAAGCACCAGAACCCTGATGGGGGAGCGGGGAGGAAGATATGCAAAGAGGCAAGAAGCTGTGCTCCCAAAATGTATATAGTATTGTTTTCAATTCAATTCCATTCATTGATTACAATGCTAAGTGTTGTATGAATATTTGTTCAGTCGGAGGGTCTGAGACAAGGAACGCGAGACAAGTTATTTTTCATGGAGGGCTGGGATTCGCTCAGATCCTGCGACAAAGGTAGAGCGTCCTGGGATCTCCTTTTATTGCCACCCTGCCATGCACACCTCTGAAAGAAGCAAGGAAGTTACAGGAAGAACATGGAGGTAAACATTGTTTCATTATGTCTGCAAACCAGTTAGTTTTGACCTCCAGAGAGAAATGCAAGCCCAAAGCTTTCCGGGGTGTGCATATCAAAAACAAGCTGGGTCTGGGCTTCTGTGAGAGAAGAAAAACGGACTCTTTTGGTTTTCTAAGATTTTGGTTATTTACTAAAATCAGCTTGAAAAAAGAGATATTCAGCCTCTTCCAAACCAGTCTGGACACACGAGTAATCTCGCCCATTTTCATGGGTCCCGTGTTCCTGCCCACTTGTGGGACAGTTTACACGGGCTCATCCTGACGGCCTAGTCCGGCCCCAACAGGTAAGTCAGTGATTTTTTTTTAAAACTTGAAGTGTTTCCTTGGGGCACCCTAGAAGGAGGCAGGTGAGAGCCCTCCCACACCAAGGGCCCCAGCCCAGGCCGACCTCCACTACCCAACCGCCGCCATGTTCCAGGCCACTTTCCACACACTTGGACCGAGCCTCACGTATGAGTGAACATATTCCTGGACACACAATAAGACACTCTCTACTCATTCTCCATAATTATACCATATTTGATGGGGTTCAGACAGTAAAGTAAAGTAAAGGCCCTCCCATTGATCGTCGATTTGCTCGAGCGGGCCCAGTAACATCTCCATTGGAGACTTTGTTGTTACTGTGTCTGGCATATCGAATACTCTCAGTAGCTTGCCGGGCTCTCCGAGAGGGGCGGAGGAATCGAACTCGGGTCGGCCATGTTGGCCGCTTGTAAGGCGAACGCCCTACAGCTGGGCTATCGCTCCAGCAGACAGTAGGCAACAAATCATAGAGGGAAATATATATATATATATATATATATATATATATATGTGTGTGTGTGTGTGTGTGTGTGTGTATATCAGGGATGCTGTCTCATTTGCCAAGGCATCAAAAATCAGATGGGCTGGACACGTAATGAGGTTTATAGACAACCACTGGACTAGAGCCATTACTGACTGGATTCCACGGGACGTCAAAAGATCGTGTGGACGCCCAGCTACAAGATGGTCAGACTTCTTCGTCAAGACCCTGAATGATCGGTTTGAGTCTCTGCATGTTCCTAGAAAGAACAGATGCCATTGGGCTACGCTAGCACGCAACAGGGATGGATGGAGATGTTACCGGCACCTGCTCGAGTAAATCGATGAATAATGGGGTATCAAGTGATCAAGTGATATATGTATCCACTGTTCACTGTCTTCCCATTGTTCATCGATTTGCTCAAGCGGACCCAGTAATGTCTCCATTTTGAGACTTGTTGTTACTGTGTTTGGCATATCCAATACGTCATGGGTAGCTTGCCAGGCTTTGCCGTGTGGGCGAGATACTCTTGAGAGCTTGCTGGGCTCTCCAAGAGGGGTGGAGGAATCGAATTTGGGTCGGCCATGTTGGCTGCGTGCAAGGCAAATGCCCTAGCGCTGTGCTATCGCTCCAGCCCATATATATATATATATATATATATATATATATATATATGCATTATACATATTTTCAGATAATTGTACATTAAAGGGGCTGGCAAGCTCCCCGTGACGTATTCGATATGCCAAACACAGTAACAACAAGTCTCACGATGGAGATGTTACTGGGCCCGCTCGAGCAAATCAATGAACAACAGGAGGACCATGACCGTGTACATTAAAAAAATTTTTTTTATTAAATACAGTGAGTGACCAAGAATGTTCCCACATTACAGGCTTTTGAGTCAAGACAATCAGGGGACAGAGAGTGCCACTTCTCCATCCCCAGCAGTGCATAGGGACCCTCACCCCAAAGCCCCCTCCTCCAAAAAAGTAATTCCATCAGGGCAAAGGTTTCCCAAGCCCCCAAACACGCATGATCTCAAGCCTCTGCCCTCAGGTTCGGTGACAAGGGCCTTGCAGGCAACTAACGGACAGTAAGGTAGAAAAACATCTTGGGGGGGGGGACAGAGGGACTTGAGAGAGGCTGTGCAAACTGATTTACCGAGTGAGGTGAGGGGCACTGAGCCCTGAGTCAGAGTGAGGCCTCTGGGTCTGTTTCTAGGACCTCTGAGCATAGGCAATCTGACCAGGAGCCACGGTGGTCAGTGTGGGCCCTCCACTGCCCCCCTCCCACCCCCATCCCCACCTTCCTGGAAGCTACACCCCGTAGTGCCCCCACGTGGACGCGGGGCTCCAGCCTCCACCTGGCAGCTCCCAGGCCCACATCTGGAAGCACAGCTCCCTATGCCCACTCAGCTGACCCCATAGCTCGGGGAGGCATGCAGGCATCTGGCCCAGGGTCAGGGCCCAACGTGGCCCCACACTCAGCTGACAGGGCGAGTGCCCAGGCTGGAATGACCTCGTGGCCTCTGAACGGAGGTGGGTGCTGCCCTCCTCATCACCGAGGACTGTGGCTGATCCCATGCTCGGGACCTGGAAAGGCTGGGAGTGGCCACCCCTGGGTCAGCAGCATGCCTTTGGGGCCTGGGAGGGGTTGCGCCGGCCTCCAGGGTCAGGCATTTCTCTGCTCCGGGGGAAGGTAGTCGAGGTCCAGCTGTCTGAAGATGTCTTCCTCCGATGTGGCGTGGAAACATCTCTTCTGCAACAGAAGCAGGACAGGAGTGACCGGAAGCCATCCCAGCCTGCCTGCGCCCCAGGAAAGCTGTGGGCAGGAGGAGGCTGGCAGAGCAGGCGCAGGGACGTTGGGATGCCAGGCATCCGGAGGCAGTGGGCTGCCCTCCGCCTTCAGACCACACACCTGCTGTGGGTCCCAGAGCCCGTGGCTGTTGAGCCATAGTCCTCGCTCCTTCCGGCTGAAGCGCCGTAACTCCCGCTCGAAATGCTGCATGAGGGAATGAGGTCAGGTCAGCGGGGCCACCGCACGTTCCTGGGCCCCCTCACACACGCCCTTACCTTAGAGCCAGTCCAGCCGAGCAGTGCAAAGGGAAACTCGCTGTCCGGGGCCACCACCAGGTCCACCCGCACGGCCTTCCAGGCGGGCCCGGGCTGCAGGGGGTCCTCCCCGGCTGTCCCCGGGGGGAGCGGTAGGCAGAAGATGCAGAAGCTCCTCTCAAAGGCGTCCATGATGTGGCTGTGCTGCGGCCGGGCGGCAGCCTTGTGGCGGCGGTGGTACTGGTGGTACAAGAGCAGCCCCTGTGGAGGGGCAGTGTGGCTGGCACTGCCCTGAACCCGCGTTGTGAGTTGGGGGTCTTTGTGGGGTGGGTGCTCACCTGCTCCTTCAAGTGCTGCAGCACAGTGGGTAGCAGCCCGGCCTCCCGGCCTTCCTGGGGATGCGTGATGAGGAAGTCCACGTCGTGGCCCTGCCGCTTTCCCCTGTTGGGGCCTAGCGTCACTCCCAGCCCGAGGCGGGGCTCCCAGCCCTTCTGTGAGGACGCTCGGGTCTTCAGGATCCCCCCTACCTCCGGAAGCCACCAGTCAATGTGACAGAGGCCCCAGGAAGGGCCCGGTCCACGGCCGCCACCACCAGCTGCTGTAGGGCCTCCACGTCGGGCCACTGGACCGGGGTGCTGAGGTCCCGGAAGTGCTCCAGTCCTGTGGGTGGCACAGTGGTGGGGGTCCCTGGCCTGGCCTCCTCACACTCTCCGGCCCTCTCGCCCTTCAGAATACTGATCCCAGACTCAGACATCGCTGTAGAGCTGGCAGTGTAAAGAATCCACAGGTCCCTGTGTCTCTCTCCAGGACCCCAGTGAGAACATCCCCCAGTCCCCAACTTTTGTGCTTGACACAGGGACACTGACACTAACAGCCAGAATATATGTAGCCGGAGTCTTTGGGGCCGGAGAGATAGTGCAGTGGGTAGGGCACTTGCCTTGCATGCAGCCAACCCGGGTTCAATCCCCGGAGCCCCCTTAGAGTCCCCCAATCCCCGTCAGGAGTGATCTCTGAGCACGGAGCCAGGAAGAAGTCCTGAGCACCTTCAGGTGTGGCCCCAAAACTAACAAAAAACAACTAGCAGGGGCTGGCCTGGGGTTCAGTGGGGAACACCGGCTTTGCTCATGGGTGGCCCCGGCCTTGATTCCCGGCCTTGATTCCCAGCATCGCAAATAATCATCATGGTAATAAAAAGACACAGATCACCCCTTTCAATGCCTTAGTTTTCCCTCGGAACATGTGGCCAGGTGGTGCCAAGACCGAGGCAACAGCTGCAGCAGCAGATTTGCAGCTGCCTGTGAGCGCTCCGAGCAGTTTGGGGGATCAGAGCAGGCGGCAGGCAGCGCCTCCGCCTCTGTGCCATGGTGTGGAACCAGCGGGAAGCAGCTCCTGCCGTCCGTCAGCCAGCTGGCCTGGGGGTGTCCCTCCCCCAGACTACCTTCCTCGTGAGCGCCAGCAAGTTTCTGTGCTCCCCACAGGGTGATGTGCTCTAGAGAACACAGCAGGCCCTTCCTTGTACATTGGGGTGGTGCAGCCCCGACAGTGCATAGTGAGAGAAACCAGAGCCACGGTGACCAACTCTCACGTTCACGGCCTTCCACTGCAGGACCCTGCGCAGGTCCTACCCTGGGCCTCCCTGAAGGTCCAAGACCGGCCTGGGAGCTGGGGTCACACTGGCACACTGTGACGGTCAGATGCCCCCTGCCCCCAACAAGCAGGCAGCAGCCTGTATCAATATAGATCACTAAACATAGTGGCGATGAACACGGGAACCTGGGTGAAGACCCTTGGACACCCACCAACGGGGCTCCTTGCCGGCCACTAGAACCCTTCATGGCTTCCTGCCCATCTTCCATGGAATCCCTGGGCTGGGCACAGTGCCAGGGGCCTGCTGGTTAGGTCAGCAGTCCAGGAGTCAGGGCTGGGCCAGATCCAGGCTCACTCACCTACTTCCTGCTGCTGGCTCAGTCTCTGAGGCTGTTCGCGCAGGTCCTCCAGAGTCCGAAGGCCATCCCGGAACCACTGGTCAGCAATTCTCACCCCAACACCGAAGATTCCAGTGAAGAGCTGGGGGGTGCCAGGAGAGCGTAGAGTGAGGCAGAGGGCATCACTGCCCCCCATCCCCCCACAGAAGCATGTGCTCACCTGCCTCCTGGGGCACTCAAGGGGGTACCAGTACTTGGCCTGGAGCCGCCCTCCCATCTGCCTCGGGCCAGAGGGGGCATGCGGTAGGTCCCCACCTGAGCGTGGGGAAGACCCCAGGGCGGGGGGGGCTGGCCTAGGGCACCAGAAAAGGTCTCTCCAGACCTTGCACGACTTGAACTGGTGACCCCAGCACCCCCAAGCCGACTTCATCCGATCAATCCCTCCATCTGGGAACAGCACCAGCGTCCTTACGCACCATGGTGGGGGCTCACCCCTCCCCCCGGGCCCCCTTCTGCCCAAGCAGCAAAGACTGCGCAGGCTGTTCACACAGGACCCAGAGGCCCGAGTCATCGGCTCGGCTGAGGTGCAGGGCGCCTGGCCTGTCACACGGGGACATCAAGGTTGGAGCCTGGCTCTCGGGGGCTGAGGCAGATCACCTGCTCCTTCCTCAGACCTCACGCGGCTGTCAGGGGAGTCACCTGGCCTCGCCACTATTCAGAGCCCCTTCCTGGAACTGTTTTAGGGGGTGACCACACACCTGGCAGAGCCCGGGCATCCAAGCTGGTTCTTGGGTGCAAACTACGGGCTCCAGCCGTCTGAGCTATCCCCCTGGCTATTTCCAGAATTTTTTCGAAGGGAAACAGAGCGACTGGCTCATGCAGGGCTGGCTGGCATGGTGGGGCCCGAGATAGGCAGCAGGCAAGCGAGGCCCAGAGGCACTCTGGTCCAGGAGCAACTCAGCCCTCCCCACCTCTGCGGGCTCTCGCATCCCAGGAGTAGGTTCCCACTCAGTCTCGGCCCACCTGAGCCCCTCTCTTCCTCTGGGGCTCCCCTCCCTCCTGCAGCCCACCTGCCAGGCCTCTTTCCAGCATGACAGCAGGACGCTCCTCAAGCAACTTCTGGCAACCAAACCAGGGTGCCAAAGCCTCTTGGCTCAGATGCAAGGACACGGGGGGGGGGGGGGGGGGGGTGGCAGGAAGATGCCCAGGAATAAGTGCCCAGGGCCGGGGGGGTGGGGCGGGGGCGGTTGCCTTGCCCAGAGCCTGCAGTACACTAAGAAATGGCCTCAAAGTAATTTTCCACCTGGGCAGAGAGATGACATGGGCAAGGCGCTTGCCATGCATGTAGTCGACCGGGTTTGACCCCGCGACACCACATATGGTTTCTCCCAAGTACTGCCAGGAACGGCTCCTGAGTCCAGAGCTAGGAGCAGGCCCTGAGGACAGCCAGCATGGCCCCCAAACAGAATAAAATAACAATAATCTTCGAAAAGTGATCTAGAAATTCTGTGTCAAAACAAGCTCCTCCCTTGCTGCCTGTCCGTCTCTGACCTCTCCTAGCTGGCCGGCTGGATTTCATGCCTCCCCCAACCCACGGTCTGTACCTTCATGGCCTGGTACCTCTCTGAGCGCCGGACCTTCTCCACCTCCTCACATACACCTTCTTCCAATAGCTCCTGTGGTTGGGACAGAGGAAAGCCCCAGGCCTCACTTGGAAGAACTGAGGGGCCGGGGCCAGCAGCATCCCAACACTCAGTGGGGAGCTTTGTAAGCTCGGGACTCAGGACTTGGAATGCCAGGGAGGCCGCCACAGTCCCCCACCGGCCCTGAGGGTGGGAGGCACAGACCTTCTTAGGTGACGGGAGAACAAGTCTGGGGTGAGCCATGATTACCGAGTGAGGTGGTGACTCTGGGTAAATTCACTTAAATTTCAAATATTCTTTGCCACTGTGTAGTGTAGCCAGAAGTGTGTCAAAGGACAACAGAAAGTTCTGGGTCCATGAATGCTGACTTTTAAGAAGCCTCCCCGGGACTGGGGGCGGGGGGCGGGTAGCTTGCACACGGCCCACCGAGGTTCCATCCCAAGCATCCCAATTGATCCCCCAAGTCTACAGGAGTGATCCTAGAGCACAGAGCCAAGAGTAACCCCTGGGCATTGCCAGGTGTGACCTTCAAACAACAACAAAATAAAATTTAAAAAAACCTCTCAGACTCTCCGCCCATAAGGGCTATGTCACGTCCATCAGCCACGCCTCCCATGGCCCACAAGCTCCCTTCCTTAAGCTTGTCCAGCTGACAGGTACGGCCCCAATTTCCACATAAGAAACTATCTGAGGGGGCACAGGTCCACCTGGAGCCTGCCCCCAGGTGCCCAGGCCATCCCATGCACTCAGCTCCCACTCCTACCTGGATGATCCTTTGGGAGTGCTCCCCAAAGTGAGGCAGTGCCTGCAGCTGGCTGGGGTCTGTGAGTGGGCCAGGCAGTGCCTTGAGCACCGAGGCTGCCCGGCTGAAGGAGAGACTGCGGCCCTCGCTGCCGTCAAAACCTGCCGCTTCTGCCAGCAGCTCCAGTGCATCCTGCAGAGAGGGTCTGTGGTCGGGTGGGGGGGGGACACACACGACACCATCCCAGCCTGCCTGGGGTTCCCCGGCCGTCCCCAGGGCTCACAGAGAGGCAGGTGTTGTGGTGCGTGAGGGGCGTGGGACGCTGACAGGCATAGGGCAATAGCCACACAGACTTCGACGGCTCCTCTCCAGGTGTGACCACCTGGAAACGGACAATGGACAGGCCACTCTGGGGCTCCAGGGCCGCTGGACCCCCACAGCCTGGCCTTTCTTGGTTGGGCACCTGGGGCCCCAGGCACGCAGGATAGAAGGGGCGCACTGTGAGGGCAACCCCCTGCAAGGTAGCATGGTGCCAAGGGGGTGCTACCCTGCAGTGAAGGAGGGGGCAGCTCCTTCCCCTGCGGAGCCCCCAAACCTGCAGAAGCGCCCCTCCCCACCCCACGCGCAGCCTCTTCGGGCTGAAGGAAACCTAAGACAAGCAGGCTGAGTGCCTGGAGCCCTCAATCCGGGGCAAGGGTCCAGGCGCTGGAAGTGACCGCCAGCAAGGCAAAGGGAGGTGAGGCAATGGACTCTCTACACTCCCAGGACACTGCCCACTTGGGGTCACCGTCTCATCCGCTGTGGGAGCGAAAAGGTGGAATGTGCCAGACTGCACCGAGCAAGGGAGGCTGCTGGTGCAGAGCAGAGGCGGGCAGGGCCCTCGGGTGAGCACTGGAGGACGAGGCACCGCTGTTCCACGTTTGTCTGCGGACCGCTGGCCCGGCTGAGAGCAAGAGTCCGGCTCACCTCCAGGCGGTGGCGACTCTCCACAGGGACAGGCTGCCCCGCGGCCATGCTCTCCGTGAACCAGCTGATGTCCAGCAGCGCCGGGCCGTGGCAGCCCGGGGCGGGGGCAGCCGCCTGGCGCTGCCACCAGCGGCCGGCCTCCTCCGCGGAGGTGTGCTCCATCACCACGTGCGTCACCTCGGAGCTGGCAGGGGCAAGGGACCAGGGGGGCGCACAACCTGAGCCTGCCACCCTGCCTTCGCAGCAAGGGGCACCTCCTCCCCGCACCCTTCCCCTGCAGCAGCCCCTCCCGGGTCCTGTGCTTCGCTCGGTCCCCGCGGCGCCCCCGGGCGCGCACCTGCAGGCGTCCAGCACTCGGAAGCCCTTGGAGCGCGCCAGGTGAGCGAGGAAGGCGCGGCGGCTGCGGCCCATGCGCCGCTCGGCCAGGTACAGGGCGACGTGCGGGAAGCGCGGGTCGGGGGGCGCGGCGCGGGCGGCCGGGGCGGCGGACCCAGCCCGCCGCCGTCGGGGCAGCATCGTTGCCTGCGGCCCGGCGGCGCCCGGGGGGAGCGGCGGGAAGGCGGGCGGGCCGGAAGGAAGGAGAGCACGAGGGCGGAAGCCGCGGCCACCCGCGAGTGGCGCTGGGCCAGACGCCGGGCGAACGCGCTCGCTCCGGACGCCGCAGCAGCTCGACCCGGGTCCCAGCGGCCGGAGCCAGAGGCCACGCCCCCGCAGGCCGCAGCCAATGCAAACAACCCGAAGACACGCCCCTATGCAAATAGCCACGAGACACGTCTCCCTGAGTCGGAAGACACGCCCCTATGCTAATACCGGGAGACGCGCCTCTGTACGGCTGGGGGACACGCCCCTATTATGCTAATAACCGGGAGACACGCCTCCGTAAGGCTCGGGGGACACGCCCACATGCTAATAACCGGAAGACACGCCTCCGTAAGGCTCGGGGACACGCCCCTACGCTAGTAACCGGGAGACACACCTGTCTGCAAACAGAGCCAAGTCTCTATGCAGAGTAGAGAACACGCTTCTATTTTGGTCGTGCTCCGGAAGCTCCGGGAAGGCTCCCCGACCTCTGGGCGTCGGGGTGGACAGGCTCGAGGTGGACGGGCCCCGACCGGGAGAGGGAGACTGGAGTGGCCCTCAGTGGGACTAGGGTGTAGGGTCTCGTCCTCCGCGGGTGGCAGGGGCGTGTGGACGACGGTCAGTCCTCCAGGGGCCTGCGGGAGGCATGGGTCATCTCGGTGGGGTGGCGGGGACCTGCTTCTTGGAGGGGCGCATGGTCAGCCGTGCCCGCTGATCCCCAGACAGAGCTGCGGGTAGAGCTCGGGAAACCTCGCAGGCGTTGCTCCAGGTACCCACAGCGTCTCCTCAAGCACCTGAGCCAGGTTTTCTGTCGGAGGCATCAGAGCAACTGGCTGGCCCTTTGGAAAAACCTAAGTAGTCTCCTTCCTGGCTTCTTCACACCGAAATAGAAACCAGATGAATCAACACTCGATTTGGAAAAAAAAAAGGTGGGAATTAAGGAGAGACAGGAGTGTTAAGACACATGTCTTGCGTGTTGCCAACCCCCTCTCCTCGCCACCACATGGTCCTCTGAGCACGGCCTGCAGGGAGGGGGCCTGGGATCTCCTCAAAAAAAAAAGACCCTTATCTGGGGAGAGAGTCAATGTTTTCATGAACATTGACTTTCATGTGTTTTCACAGACACACTGAAGGGCAAATTAGAAGTGTATTTTAGAATTAAAAATAAAAGGCAAGGGGGCTGGAGCGATAGCACACAGCAGGTAGGGCATTTGCCTTGCACACAGCCGACCCGGGTTCGATTCCCAGCATCCCATTTGGGCCCCTGAGCACCGCCAGGGGTAACTCCTGAGTGCAAAGCCAGGAGTAACCCTTGTGCATCGCCAGGTGTGACCCAAAAAGCAATAAATAAATAAACAAATAAAAATAAAAGGCAAACGAGTGTTTGTGAGTTCACTTCTGACACTGTAAATATGGTGGACGAGTAAATATGAAAAAAGTAACAACTAGTGGGGAAATTGGCAATAACGCCAGCAGAACTAGATAATTCACCAAAGAAATGCAGCTTGATAAACTTGCAGCAGCAGGCCTGACCCTGCAATCAGCAGAGAACCTGCAGAGGTGAGAACCTCTACCTGTTGGAAGGTGAGGATGGATGTCACCTGTTGGCGGAGGGTGGGCAGGAGAGTTCTCTCTGTAAAATCCCCACTTGTTAAGGCGCCGGCATTCATCTAAGGCCCATCATCACTTGGGATGATTTATCTTGAAATCCTTCTCCAAATTACATCTGCAAAGACTTTTATTCCAAATAAGGTCACATTCTGACTTTTGGGAACCATATCCAACAGCAACAGCAACAGCAAGATCATGCTCATTGACTCAGCAAAGTCTCTTTCCAGACTGGGATTGTGTGGAATCTAATAGTCAGAGTGGAATCACCAAAATCTTGGGGTTTGGGTTTGGTTTTTTGGTGTTGTTTTTTTTTTGTTTGATTTTTGGGCCATACCCAGTGGTGCTCAGGGGTTACTCCTGGCTCTTTACTCAGGGATCATTCCTGGTGGGGCTCAAGGAACCATATGGGATGCCAGACATCGAACCTGGGTCAGCCTCATGCAGGACAAGCAATACCCACTGTTGGTCCCTCATCAACGTCTTGGGACTCTACTTCCAATCTCCAAATTGTGGCTTGATCTTTCTTGGTGACCAACCTCCACCCAGGAACCATCCAGGTACCTCTGAGAGACATCACCTTATTAGAGCAGAAAGTAGTCCTTCCACCCTGGGGGTTTAGGAGCCCTATGTCAGGAACCAGCACAAATATTAGAACAAAACATGATCCAAGTGTGCTCACCGTTAAGAACATGTCGAGGGTGGTAAAGGGCACTGAGCCAGCCGCCATGTGGGAGAGCCCAGTTGTTATTTCACGGATGTGGCTCCCAGCCCTCAGGTCATTCAACCCATGTGCTCCTCCCGCCCAGAGCTACTTGTTCCCTCTGATAGAGGGGAGAGAGGCTGAGAGGTGATTGGAGGACCTGCAGCGACAGCACAGCAGGAAGGGCGCTTGCCCTGCATGTGGCTGACCTGGGTTCGACCCCTGGCATCCCATAAGGCCTGACCACCTGACCACCACCAGGCGTGATTCAGAGTGCAGAGTGCAGAGCCAGGAGTAGCTCCAATGCACTGCTGGTGTGGCCCCAAAATCAAAAGGAAAGAGAGATGATGAAAAGGGGGTTATTGTTTGTTTGTTTTATCTTGCCTATATTTTATTTATAATTTGTCTGCACTATTCTTTATTAAGAACTTTGAAACCAGGAGAGTTTATCAGGCCAGTAGCAGTGAGAAGCTGCTGTTGGCCAAGTTGGGGTGCTGAGGTGAGGTCTCCCCTTGGAGGGGTGAGAGTGGATGGGGGAGGCTCTCGCCACTCTGAGATGTCCAAGTCCTCACCCCTATTTCTGATGACCCCCAGCAGGAGGATCCAGACCCAGCAGCTAGCTAGGATGGGCCACCCAGGGCCACACAGCTTGGGCACAATGGCCAAGCCCAGGGGACTGTCACAGTGGCCCTGTGAGACCCAGAGGCCACACTCATCTCCACGGGGAGTAGGGAGAAGAGACATCAGGAAGTCAGGACTGTTTCCCTTGGCCTGGATGTGCCCGTGTGCACCTGACACCCTGCCCGTGAGTCACCCCCAAATCCAACTGCCCAGCCACTCTTCTGCCTTCAGGAAGATGGGGCCCAGCCTGCCTCCGTGCCCCTCATTCCTACCCTACGGCTTCCAGCCAGGGCCCTTGCTGGCTTCTCTCCTGCCAGGATCCCTTCCTTCACCTCGCCGCTGCACCAAGGAGCTAACCATCTGAGAGAGTCCAGGCCCGGGTGGGTTTCCAGGAGCTGTGGACCAGCCCATGGGAGTTAGTGGGTTATAGACTCCACCCGGGACTTACAGCCACTCGCCCCACCTCCAGTCCCCTTTACCTTTGACAAAAGAATGCTTTTTCTTCTTTGGGCATCGAGAGTTGAACCTGGAGTCAGGAACAGTGGTCTGTGAGAGAACACTGCAGCTGCCCTGGAGAGATCACAGCAAGGTTGTCACACACACACAGGTTCTGGAGGAACAGAAATCGTTGTCTCAATAAAGCAGACCACGGTTGGACAAATCTCTTCTCACTCCACACTAACTGCATCTGTTCCCTCCCTAAACCCCAAAGCCTAGGGACAGAGTAATAGTACAGGGGAAAAGTGCTGGTCTTGCATGTAGACTGACCAGGTTCAATCTCTGACACCCCATATGGTCCCCTGAGCCCCAGAGTGACCCTCAGTGCAGATCCAGGAGGCAGGCCTGAGCATGGCTGGGTGTGGCCCCCAAAGCAACAAATTAATTTGCCCCCAAGCCCCAGGCTGGGAAGATACTTTGGGGGACCGTGTTGATTCTCAGCACCAGAAGAGGCCCGTTAATTCTAACACTGAGGATCATCTCTGGAGGTTTGGTCTCATTTTTGGCCAGGGTTGGGGGCAGTGGGGGTGGAGGATGCTCTCCCAAGCAGTAGTTATGGGGTCCAGGGCCAGAACCAGTAATACTGGGTCAGTGGGCCTGGTGCTGCTCTGTTCCTGTGGTACCTGGCCATACCCAGTGATTCTTATGGAAGCATTGGGGGGCCTTTGGGGAGCCTCTGCTGGTGCTCCGGGGGTGTCATGCAGTGATAGGATCTGAACCTGGCTCCCAGCAGATGCCAGGCTTTGTGCCCCTGCCCACTAAGCTCTCTCTCCAGCCTCTGGAGTAGCTGGCTTGGACCTTGGAGTGAGTGAAATCCAGGGTTCAAGTTGGCCCTGTCCCCAACTTTCAGAAATTCCCGTGGAGAGGAGGCTTCCCGGCCAGAGCCCTATCCCAGGCACTCCAGGCGGTAGAGCCACACAGACGGTCTGGGAACATGTGCTGACCACGTGAGTTGTTCTGGCACCAAAAGTGAGTGCAGACGCTCCTGCCCTGGCAACGGCTTCTCTCTGGACAGAGCTTCTTTATCCTCAGGGGGACCTAGGAGACAACCTGGGTGTTTGTGGGACTCTGGGCTTCCAGAATTCAGCTCTCAGGGCTAGAGACAGAAACTGACCCTTCACTCTTGGAGATGGTCCTTAGAAGTAGGTCTAGGGATGCGGGGCTCAAAAGGGAGCCAGGGTGTGCTGGGAAGTCGGGGACCCTGTCCAGGAAGTGTTCTGGTGTCCCTGCGTGTGTCTCTGGGCCTCAGGAGAGAACCAGGTGATACGGAGCAACTGTCCACAGTTAAGGGAGGAAAGATAAGTGAGGCAGCTCCTTTTAGAGGCTTCCTATTCAGATGATGGAGACGATGGAGACAGTGGTGTTAGCACCAAGATACAAGTTTTAGCAGGGGGGCTCAGGGCTCCTTCTCCAAGGCAGGAGCTATGGGTACACTAGAAGCAGGCTCCAGCTTTTCCTCTCTGGCGGGGCTCGGCTTGGGACTGCAGATAAACATGAAATGTTGTCCACCTCACCAAAAAGAATTAGGTG